AGAAAGAAAGAAAGAAAGAAAGAAAGAAAGAAAGAAAGAAAAGATGGGGAGGTAACTTCATTTTTCTTGGTCTTTATATAGTTGACTATGAGATAGAAGTCATAACTTACAAGGGAAGAAGTCTAGGAATCTGCAGTGAGAACGCAGCCCATCCTTACTTCTCTGGTCCCCCAGTCCCATGCAGACAAACCTTGTGATCTCAGGGCAGTGAAGAACCTTCTGCTCCGTCAGAAGCTCAGCGAAATTCTGCCGCCCCAGAAGACCACAGGTCAAACACAGGACTTGGTGACTCAACTGAGCACGAGGGGCCTCCTGGGAAATCCCCAGCACAGTTCTGGGAGGCTGTTCATCTCCTCGCCACTCAAAATCCCCATCCCCAGTACCCAGTACTTGATACTGTCACTTTGAAAGGGTTTTGGAATCAGTTGTCGACCCTTAGGACATTTCCTAAAGAACTTTAGGGAAAAGATTTGGTCACTTAACGTAGTCCTTTTTCTATGCCAAAGCTTTTGGTGTGTCCTTAAAATATTGGAGACTTAAGGGGTGGGGCGAAACTAAATAGTGCCTTTGCCACAAACCATCTGCTAAACTATAAAAACAGAGGCCGTGCCTCTGAAGCCCAGGACGCAGCTTCGCTGTGGAGAGTGCTGCCCAACCCTCTAAGGGACGGGGGATCAGTCTCATTACTGTTGATATTAGGATGCCCGTGTGCAAATGAGAAGGCTCTAGATGTGGGGGATCCTCAGGTGAAGGGTGAGCAGGATGTGCTGTGTCAGTGTGCGTGAGACTGGGGAGGAAGGAAAAAATGCGGGCAGGGTGGAAGGCGGGGCGCTCACAGGCACTGGGTGATGGTACTGGGCAAAGTGGAACCCCGTGAGGATTTTTAGAGAAACGTTAAATTGAGTGGGGAAAAAAGTGGGAGAGAAGAAGGGTGAAGAAAAGCAAAGGGGAGGAGGAGGAGGAAGAGAATGGGAGGGAGGAGGGAAGGAGGAGGAAGAGGAATGGAGGAAGTGGTTGCTATGGAAACTGAGATGAACTTGTTCATCAAGTGACTGAAGATGCTCAGGAGAACGTAGCCCGGGTGGGAGGGGCGACCACAGTGAGACAGGCTGGACACAGGTACACAGCTACAATTCCAGCACCCGCAAGGCTGAAGCAAGATGATGAGTTCTGCGTTGCAAGTCTGCCTGAGTTACACAGCAAGACCTTGTCTTTAAAAAGGGCAGTTGTATCTAAAATAGTTGGACTTCCCACCGGAATTCAGATGGCAAGGAAATATTTTTTTCCACAAGAGAAATGGAGGCTTGCTGTTGGACCGGGGGTTGAGGGAACAGAAGGCCCCTGACATTCAGTAATACACTTATGTGCTAAACATGTTCCAGGACTAAAGGAGGCCAACCACGTCACTGCCCTCATTAGAAACTTCCAGTGGAAGGGCTGGAGAGGTGGCTCTGTGGTTACAATTGTGTAGTGTTCTTAAAGAGGATCTGAGTTTAGTTCCCAGCATCCACACTGGGCAGCTGACCATGACCTGGAACTCTAACTCCAGGGGAAATCCGGCGCCCTCTTCTGGAGTCCTTGGGAACTTGCATTCATGCACACATCCACTATATACATATACATGATTTAAAAATAAAAGGGGCTGGAGAGGTGGCTCAGTGGTTGAGTACATACTGCTCTTGTAGAGGGCCAAGTTCAACTCTCAGCACCTGTACCAAATGGCTCATAACTGCCAGGAGCTCCAGCTCCAGGGGAATCCAGTGCTTTTGGTCTCTGCAGGCACTGGTGCACACACCCACACACATGTACATAATTTAAAAATAGTTAAATAAATCCTTAGAAAATAAATCTTGAAAAATAAACTTCCAGTGGCTTCTTGTGCCCACATACAAAAGCTGGGACCTACAGCTCACCCTAATACGGCCCCATGTCCTACAGTGTAAACTTCAACCTTCAAGGTACACAAAGTTCAGTAGATTTTAGTATATTCACTATGCTATGGAACTATCACTTTTAGTTAATTACATAACATCCCCATCAAAAAGAAATCCCAGGGCTAGAGAGTTGGTTTGGTGGTTAAGAGCACCGGCTGTTCTTGTAGAGAACCTAGGTTTGATTCCCAGCATCCCACATGGTAGCTCACAACTGCCTATAACTCTAGTTTCAGGAAATTTGATGCCTCTTCTGACCCTCTCAGTCACTGCATGCATATGGTGCACATATACTCACACACAAACACACACAAACACACATGCACATAAGTTTTCCTAGTTTTTTGAGACACTGTCTCAGTATGTAGCCTTGGCTGGAACTCACTCTGTAGACCAGGCTGGCCTAGAAACCACAGAGATCTACTTGTACCTGTCTTTACCTTCTGAGTGCTGGGGACTCCCAGAGATCCACATGTGCCACCATGCCCAGCTTTTAAGAAATATTTAAAAACAGAAATCCCTAAAGCCGGTGTGGTGGTGCATACCTTTGATGCCAACACTCGGGAGGCAGAGACCAGCCTGGTCTACAGAGTGAGTTCTAGGACAGCCAGGGATACACAGAGAAACCTTGTCTCAGGAAACAAACAAGAAAACCAAAATCTCACATATATTGTATCTCCCAGAAGCTTTAATCTTGTCCCTGAGACTAATCTTGTCTCTGTGTACAGTCTCTTCTAGAAATTCATAAAATATAATTAGCCAATCCGTGGTTTTCTGACTTGCTTCTTTCACTTTGCATATTTTTAAGATCCATTAATGTTGTAGAATGTATTGATACTTCATTCCTTTTCTTGGTGTAGTAATATTCCTTAGAAGGATATATCACATTCTGTTTATCCGTCCAGCAGCTGATGGACATTTGAGTGGACATTGCTTCCACTCATGACCTTTATGCTGCCATTCAGGCATGCCATATGCATACCTGAATCATTCTCTTTGGGGTACACCTAAAGGTGGAACTCCTGTGCCAAGTTCTAGTTGAGTTTCACTCTGGGGTTTTCCACAGCAGCTGCGTCAATTCGCAGCTCCGTCGGTAGCAAACAGAGCTTTCGAGTTCTCCACACACTGACGGTGGTGACTTTTTCCATTAAAGAAAAGTGGTGGGCCATCCTGGAGGTGTTGAGGTGGAAACTCACTGAGGATTGATTTTCTGTCCCAGGATTCTGACTGCTTGAATCCGTCAAGGGCAGGAGTGGGGGCATGGTGTGATGGTTCCGAGGCCACATTTGGCCATCAGTCTGACCAGGATGAATCCAGACACTGACATTTATGGTCATGTGACCTTAGACAGATAATTTTTTTTTTGCGCCCATAAGTCTCTGTTTACCCAATTGGACTTTATAGCAGTTCTGGTCCATCCTGTGTATTGAGGACCAAAGGAAACAAGCCAACGCTAGTTACATAACTCACTACCTGGCATGCATGTCCTAAGAAAACAGAACTCTCACAAGATGTGGTTTTGAAATATTCCACCTCCAGCCTCCCACCACAATCATCAATAAAGCAGCTACAAGCTGGGTGATGGTGGCCCACGCCTTTACTCCCGTCACTCAGGATGGGCAGAGGCAGGCAGATCTCTGAGTTAGAGGCCAGCCTGGTCTACAGGGAGCATTCCAGGACAGACAGGGCTACACAGAGAAACCCTGTCTCAAAACCCAGACCAAGCGCTGGAGAGATGACTCAGAGGTTAAGAGCACTGACTGCTCTACCAGAGGTCCTGAGTTCAGTTCCCAGCAACCACATGGTGGCTCACAACCGTATCCAATGAGATCTGGTGCCCTCTTCCAGCCTGCAGGCATACATAAAAAATAAATAAATCTTAAAAAAAAAACAAAAAACAAAAAACAAAAAGCAGCTCCAGGAGGAAAAGAGAGTGACTATCTAGGAATGTACCCTGTGAGCTTTGCAGAGTCGTCCTGCTCTGACTTTGGTGACCGGAAGTCAGTCTGTCACACCATAAAAAGACACACAGCCACACTGCCAATCAGATCACCTCAAGTTTTCAATGTCATGGGCTGACCCAGTGGCCATATCATGTACCGTATGCATGTGCTCTGTGCCCCTGCTGCACGGTGACATTTAGCTGAGTGCTGCCCACTCCTGCCATCTGGGTGTTTGTGGGCAGAGCTGTCACCTCCCCTGAAGTGACGTCACTCCTTTTCCAGCACAGTGACATTCACTTGGGCCCCTACACCTGTGACACATGTCTCCACTGAGCTAAGAGATTCTCAAGATTAGTTTTATCAGCCTGCAGCTGAACCAGACCAACCGATTCAGGAGTGCTTTCATCACATCCCTGCAGCTGTGCGTGATAAAATCACCACGGCAACAGAGGGCGGATGATACCAAAGAGCTTAGATGGTCATTTGCTTTATCCATTTTGTCTTTCTAATCTTTCAAATGCAATTTAAAAAAATCACAAAACTACAAAATCTTCCCAGGTTCAGACAGTGAGCATCAGCCCTTGACAGTATCAATAAAACTGTTCCCGCTACATTCTGAGATCTTAGTCTGAGCCGGGGCCAGCTCTGTATGGTTTAATTGCCTGTGTGTCTCTGAACATCTCAAGTGAGTGTCACTCTGGGGCTGGGCGGCATGAAGTCCCATCTGTCTAAGGAGATAAAGGAGAAGTTTACGAGAAAGACCAAGATGCCGAGCGCAGTCTCGCACACCAGCAAACCCAGTACTTGGAGGAGGATCAGGAGCTCAGGGTCATCCTCAGATACATAGTTTGTTCAGGACCAACCTGGGCTATTTGAGAATCTATAAAAGAGAGAGGCAGGGAGGGAAAGACAGGGAGACGGGGGAGGGGGGGCAGTCAGAAGAGAAAAGAAAACTAAAAAGGAAAACAGCCCCTTGCTCTGAAAAATGCTTCTGTCCCCTTGGGAACATTTTAGAGATATCTAATCCAAGGACTGTTACCTGCCCTTGTGACCTTTACCCCATACCCTGGACAGCTGTCCAGTAGGTAATCATCAGATAGGACATTTATTCACTTGGAATACCAACAGGAGCTGACCTGGAGGAGAGAGATCAAACAGAATTTGGACAAAGGAAAGTGGACAGAAACTACGGAAAAGAGCCTTCCTGAGGAAGGAAGCAGCATGTGAGGTGAGATGCTGACGCCAGCCTGCTGGGCTGCCTCCGGCTTCTGCGCTCTCCCTGGGGGGTGTCCACTGTACATTGGTGGCTCATAAATATTTACACCTTACCTCAGATCAGCCACACTGCCCCGGTCCTGCACAGTGCTCAGAACAGAGTATCCGTGGAGACCCACACATAGTATCCAGATAATCAGAAGAATCTATCAGGTAAGACCTGTTAAATAAGAGCTCTCCGGCCCAGGCCCACAGACACAGAGTTAGCAAGCATCTGTGCCTATGACTGGGACCTGGCAGGTGCCGTCCACCCATCACCATGCTGGGAGGGCTGGTGGCAGGGCTGTCCCTGCCTCCTAGACACAGAGGATGCAACACACTCCTGTACAACCAACTTCTGTGTAGGAATATTCAGGAAACCGTGGTTCCCTCGTGTCCTAAGTGTCCATTTTCTTCATCCTGCAATGTTCCAATTTGTAGCTCTAGGAGAAAAGCCTTGTGACCCTTAGACTTCATAACCACTGCATCAATACTCTGTGACTTTTCACGTCCTCAAATATGACGTATGGGCAACACAACACAAAAACTCCATCTTCACTGGATCTTCCAGAGTGAAAGCGAGCTCCAGATTATAGATAAATCGAGTCTCATACAGCCAAAGGTGGTAGCATACCTCTGTAATTCCAGTACTTGGGAGGTAGACCTAGGTGTATCTCTGTGAGTTCAAGGCCACCCTGGTTTGTATAGCAAGTTTCAGGCTACCCAAGGCTGCACGATGAAACTGATTCTTAAAAGAAAAAAAAAAGTAGCCAACACAACTTAAGAAAATTTTGAAACATTAAAAAAAAAAAAAAAACTATTTGCTGGGCGGTGGTGGCATACACTTTTAACCCCAGCACTCAGA